AGAAGCTTGGACAGGGGATTGTTAATGGTGATGCTAGCATCTGGACAGTTAGCAACATGCCACGCCGCCCAACACAATGTCCCTATAATGAATGCTCATTATTTCTAAGCTTCCATATGACAGCTGTAAAGGTTACAGACTGTGGATCACATAGTGAACTACGGCCCCCATAATAACGTGGTTGTTAATTATTTAGGATGGCAATCAGAAATCTAATTTTACATGGACAGCTCCCTGAAGACCATAATAATTATTCATACATCAAGCACCAAACTTGGCCTATTTATCAATAACCGCTTTAGGTTAGACCTGTTTACTTTCACTGGGAAATTTCTAGAATGCTGATTAGACTTTTTTCTGGTGGTCGAGCAGTGTGTGTATGTATGTGTGTGTGTGTATGTGTGGTGGTGGTGGTGATGTAAAGGGGGGGTATTTCCATGTCCAAGCATCCATGATACTGAGGCTTCCTGAAGTTCTGCAGAGGACCATTTTTATTATTGCATGAAGTAGCTTTTATAATCAGCAGGTGAGTGGGCCACCTATGTGCACTGCTGCTTGGTGTGTCTGTGTGGATTTCTAATGGTTCAGGAGACAAGGCAACCTTTAACTTCCCCTTCTTACATAACTGTCTGTCTGTCAGAGGCACACAGGCCTGCTGGCTGCCAGGGATGTGATGTGGTGCACACTGATTCCCCGGTGACCTGCTGTACCATAGTTTCATTAGTCAAACTGAGCTATTCCTTCATAAAGTCTGTAATGTATGCAGTTACCTACACATTAATAAAGCAATGCCTCCGAATTGAATAAACTCCACTGGGCTTTAAAGCTGAGTAAACTCGAAGTTATGAGTGAGCATGCATTGAATGAAGTTATTTCTCACAAGCTGCATAAATGCAGCTAATTATGGCAAAGATGAATGGTCTATGTGAGCACTGCAAACATATCTCAAAATGCCATAATCCAATCACTGCCATCCATGGAGATAATATTGCTGGCACAGATCAGTCATGTCCTAAAACTCTTTCTCCTTGCTCCATGCTTGGATCTGTGGAGCTCAGTGTAAACTGGACAGCCTTATTGCTCAATAAGACAGTAAAGCCTGGCTGATATTGGGCTTAATGCTGTATTGCAGTATGAAACTAGACTGTCTGCCTGTTTATCTCGCTATCTGTCTTTATCAGTCTCAGGGCACTTAGAAAGGTCTCTTATGAAATCAAGGAGGTGGAGAACACCTCTATACATGGCATGGCAGCTGAGATAAACATTTAAGAACAACAATGTGTAGATGACAACACTGGATAAGAACTGTACATCTACAACAACTTTTATCTTCAAATTTAAGTATTGGATAAAATGTGGGGAAGCTTTGATCCTAATATACTATGTTAAAGTTCAAATCTCGTTTTAGTTTTGGACCATAGGATGTAAAGATGGATCCATTAGACTAACTTAAAAGTAATTTGTTTTGAGATCCAGCAGAGGACACTCCAGTGTCAGCAACATGTGAGCCACGCCTGAGTGATCTCTCAGTGAAATAAGATGATGCTACACTGCTAAACAAATGACGGGGAAGAAGTGTTTGGAATTTCATTCATTGGAAGTCATTTGGAATTTTACAGTAAATGGTACAGTAATCAATAAAAGCAGTATATAAGACGCTTTGATTTTGTGCTTTTCCAATAGCAACATATCTGTTCGCTCACCCTTAAGCTTAGCCAGGTGATACATTGGTAAGCAGGCTGTGCTGAATGTTATCTGGCTGCTAAATCAGATTATTAGCTAGAAACTCATAAAAATGCCATTACTTCCTAGGCGGCAAGATGGATATGCAAAGATATGCAGCACATCCATATGGTTAAGGGACCTAGTGTTGCTAAACAAAATTACGCTGCAAAGAACTAAGAGTTTAACGGTGCCAAAGTATGGTTATGTAACTGTCATAGCTTGGTGTAGCCAAACAAGTCATGTTGGCTTCATAAACCTATGGCTTTTAAGTGACTTGATTCCTCTGTGTTCTGTTTGGGTTTAAGAGCTACTGCTTTCATGGGTTACTTTTAGGCCGTTGTTCATGCAAAGTGGAAAAAAGTGCATTCTTTGACAAAAATCCAAATTCTGTTGAAGATATGAGGCCAATGAATGGGTAGATTTCTTGGTGTAGATGTAAAATGTTAAATAAACATTTGTTAAAGCCTTCTCAGCTAATTCCCTTCTTTGGTAAAGTTCGCTGTTAAGAGCAAAGTAAAAGTGTTAAAACGTCCCAGTTTTGAGCCAGTACCTAGGGTCAGAGTGAATGTAGCACATTTGACAAAGTGACAAACCTCTTTTATTTTCTTCTTCTTTGTTTTTGAGTTTTGGAAAAGGCAGTCATTTTGGGGACCAAATGATATGCTCTCAAAAACAAACCGAAGAACAAAATGTCCCCTTTGTTACCTGTATAACTTGTTCAAAAAAGTGTGACGTTTAGACTCATCTTCTGGGAAATGGTGCGTACATCCAGAAGGAGGTGAAAACAGAAAAGCTGAGAGTGGACACAAGGTCCGGTTTACGGAGGAGCAATAAATCTAAACAGAGACAGGCCTCTGCTGGGTTGAAGAGTTTGTGGCCCTATCGCCACGTCTCTTCCCAACCCTGCAACCTCTGCTGTCACTTTATCCTCTCTTTCCTATCATTCATCCTCTGCTATATTTACCCTGTCTCCTAAACATTATCATAATTTGAAATAAGCTTTAATTAGTTGACTGAGCAAGAAAGAAATGATGTCTCTGCTGATTTTCTTTTCTTATTTTGATCATTGTATCAACAATATGTTCATTGTCATCGCAAGATTTTTACTGCCAGTAAACAACAAAAAAGAAAAATGTTCTTGACAAACATGTTTGATCCATCTGGCTTCACTTTAAGTTCCTTTACTGTTATTTCCGGTTATTGATAGGGATGCACATGGGGCAATGATATTTCTGGACACTTTCATTTCCAGCTATGTTTTTTTTCTTTCCTTTTTTCTCCTCTACCTTTTAAGAACTTATGTAAATGGTATTATGAAATAAACCAAAAATAAAACTCTTGCTTTCACTCCTTGTTCCTGTCTTCCTTACTCCCACCCTCATTTCTCCCTCCCTCAGCCATCGCTCTAGGCACTGTCCTGTCTTGTCCTGTCCTGACTGTGGAGTACTCAAAGAACAGCCACCACCTGAGACACTCAGCTCCACAGTTATTATGACAGGCCAGCCTGCCAAACATCTGTCACCCTGAGCACTTTCAGCAAGGAGGGAGCGGAGGTGGCTGTTCAGGGAGTGAGATTGGATGATAGAGAGAATAGATGAAAATTCAGAAGAGAATAGAGAACTTAAGCACAAAATAAAGTGGTTCCAATCAGTATATGAGAGGATGAGTTTGTCTGTGCAGACTACGTTTTCAAGATGATAGGAAAAATATGAAAACTTTAGTTGGATGGATCTAACACATTATTGTCTTTAAGAGGAGCAAGATATTTAACACATATAAATGCTTTGACATCAACCAGTTTTAATCCATTTTTAGACACTATGTCTTGACCAAGAAACAAAATGTTCTCAGTTTTTCCAGGGTTCTTGCTTTAAATAGACATATTCATGAAGAGAATTTCACACAACTCACTTGTAATTTACACATTTCACGTGGAGAATACATTTTTTTCCCTTAATTTGATCATTTGGTACTTCTGACAGCTTGTGAAAATCAGCAGGTTCATTAAAGTTGTCTAAAACAAGCTAATAGGAGCTAAACAGTCCTAACTCTGGACTCTAATCATGAAAAAAGTATGCTTGATCATGGTAGAGCCCCGGTTTTAAAATACAAGTGACAAACAACGATGTGTTGCTTCTTTTTTCATCCGCAGTTTGTCAGAGGAAACAGGTCAAATTATTTTCATGTTGAGACTAACATGATAAGGCAGCCATAAGTGGACCAGGAAATAAGTCCAAGAGTCAGAGTAACCAACATTAATATAACCGTCTAACTGTGAGGATGGCTTCCATAAAAAAGCAACCATTAGGTTAAAGGTGTCAAACAAACTGCTGACTGACAATGTTTTTTGTTTCCTTAATTACTCCATGTATAAAGGCAAATCAATATTGGCTGCGCAATTAGTCTGTTTTTTGTTTTTTTTAGAAAGTAACTGTCCGAACTGAATGAAATATACTTGAGAGTTGGAGACTGGAGAAGGGAAGATCCATCAAATTCTTGTACCAGTCTGGATCCCGTTCTTTCAAACTGATCTAGTAAGAGGAGATTGCTATCACACTGGCTTCTAGTTTTCTCTCTTAGTCATCAAATATGCCCCTGAAAATACTTTAATAAAGGTGTACGTTGAGTATAAGTGGGCGAAAGGAAGAGACAGTGTATCCAAAGGTGAGAGACAATATGTATGCAAATGCTCTGTAAGAAGCTATCTAGAAGAGCCAAACCAGTGTGCCTATCATGGGGAGGCTGAACTAGGATTAATCATCCAATATCCTCTCATCATAGAATATTATAGTAAACACATTTACCAGGCTGTAAATTAGTTACACACCTTCTCTAACCCAGCTACCTAAACAGAGGAGTAAATCAGCAGAGTTCATGCTGGGAAGCTCCTGAACACAAAACAAACTTGGGAAGAAGAAAGTGAATAAAAATAAAAGAGTTTTGGCATTCATAAACAGGAGCTGCAACAGAAACATGTTACTGGCTAGACAGCCCATAAACACAGAGTTCTTTTCAGCAGCACAGAGCTCCAGCCAGACGGGGGAGAATTAATAAGGCACTACAGTGTATCGGTGTTGCTAAATTGGCGGCGTTTCATAACAAAGTCTTTCAGAACATTTATAAATTAGAGACAATTAAAATAACCATTCATCATTCTTACAAAAGCGGCTGCACTCAGAGAGCAGTGCTAGTACGCAAGCTGATAAAACATAATCAAATCACAATCATTTAGCACTCAGAAGTTAGAAATGATTGCTCACTGATCTGTGACATACTATTGCTAAGATCACAACTCTGACTGGTTCCACTGGACAGAACTATGAGAGCGTTAGTTAAACATTTGGCAGTGAAGATGTGACAATCTGAAGAAAACTGGAGGAAATATCATTTCAAATCAACTTGTGAGGAAACATTAAACATCACAGCTACATGTCTATCCTAAGTCTCCAGGCACATGTTTGATTTTAAACCCATTCATTGATCTATCTTTATGCATTCTGTTGACTGACATGCAGTTTCTTTCTTTACCGGAAAATCTTTGCTGATATTACTTCCCATATTATGGAGACCAGTGTAGATAAGATCTTAATACAAAGATGCACTGGGGGAAAGGAGCCTCTGTCCTATTCACAGGATGTCTCTCCACATTCAGATTCCCCAGTTCTCAGGTCCCAAGAGGTGTTCGTGATGGCAAAGGGTGAAGCTACAACCTCTTCAGCCTCCCAGGCATATGGCTAATCAATGCAGCCTCTTCCGTGCAAACGTAACTCTACACTCTGCAGGGAGGGATAGGGGAGCTACCAGCACGGCCTCCCCTGTCTCTCTATCCTAATGAAGCTCCCAGGTAATCAAATCACTGTAAACACAGGCAGATGGCCAATAAGGGATCAACCATGAGGCCCCTGAATGTGACCATGACAAAAAATGTTAAAACTACCGACAAGTATTGCTTCTCTGTCAGCATTAAAGTCATATTAATTAAAAGTGACGGAAATGTGGCTGCATTAGTATGTTATTATTAATATGCCCAATCTATAATTTATATCTGCGCCCCCCCCCCCCCCCCCCCCCCACCCCTTTTGGGATGGCCATATATTAACACGCTGACCTCTGCTAAATATGCCTGAGAGCACATTTTCCTTGTTGGATTGACTTGTGAAGTAGGATCAGTTATTTCAGGCATCCAAGTTTCAAGAGCCAAAAGTCCTGCTGTTTCCCCTTAAACCACTGCTTCCCAACCTCAAGGTAGAGCCAGCAATGCATACCAAGTAGTAGGGCCACCAGAATGGCAAGATGGAAAGCTGTAGTAAGATATACACAGAATAAGTCAATGCAATTAAATCACCATAACCTGTCATAACTTATTCAAACTGAAAGTTATCTATTTTTAAGTTAATATAAGTTGAACTTATATTAGAATAACTAACATTAAAAGGGGAGTGACTGCATGTGAAGGTTAAAAAAGCTATTTTTGGTGGTACAGACTTAATAATGCTATTTTCAAAAGAGAATGCCAGTGTGTCAGCAGAACATGTTATCTTTACACATGATTAACACAACCCAGTGAGTGCCATCCACTATGGGGATGGCCACGTTGTATAAAAAGTGTATTGTTGATCTACGATCACTCTCTATCGCTAATGAAGAAATGTAAGAAATGTGGTGTATTGTTTCAGACACGTCAAAATAACTGAATGAAGTGAATTGATGTTTACTGCTGTGATAACTGCCACGATATGAGGGTATATTTAATCTTTTGTCGACTTATCTTGGCGTGCGTTGGTTATTTCTGGATATTGTATGTAAACTCAGTAATTTATAGGGTTGAGAAACTGATTCATGATTAACTTGTTCATCCTTTGTGTTGGGGGGACACACATATCTAACCTAATCCCATTATTACCTATAATCCTCTCCATACAAAGAATTTAACACGAGCTAAATAACCTCATCTTATTAATGACAGAATGAGAAAAACTTGGCACTATCTGAGGCCTACTGTTGGCAGGCTTACAGAGGACATGCCCATCCAATGTGTGTTCTGCTGCATGATTTAATAAAGAGAGGTTATTATGAAGGGATATTTTCTGTGTTCTCCCAAACTAGAAACTGGCAGTATGACCTATCTTATTCTCCTCGCTCTGTAAAGCAAGTAATACCTACTAATCTTAGATACAGACAGGCTGCAAAGAAGAGAGGTGAGAGGAGACAGAAAAAAAGAGCTAATGTCATTATGTACAGTTTTTAAGTCCTTTTATCAGCTGTTTACGCTGTCAGATTCAGACCCCATAAAATTAGCCTACGGATATGAGAAAAATGTGTGTGTCCCTTCTGTCTACACATTTGTGCATGGTGTGTGTGTGTGTGTGTGCTTTGTCACCAAAGTATGCCCTGTATGGAGCACAAAGCACAGAGCAAAGAGTCACAATCCCCAACAGTGTTCATTTAGAAGAGTTCAGACTGACAGCATGTGCATGCACACAAACACACACACACAGACACACACACACAGGAAGCTCCCAGGCCTATCCTATCCAGTGCGATGTAATGAGATATCTGCTGTTTCCCATTTGAGCCTCTTCATCCTCTACAGAACAGAAACAACTGATAAGAATGGAAGGAAGAGAGGACAGGAACTTAAGGACCGGGAGCAAGATCAGATTCTTCTGTTTCTGTCTTTTCTCCCCTTTCTGTTTAAACGAGTAATGTCTCTCCATCTCTGTCTTTCCTATTATGATAGTGTGGGTCTTCCACCTCTTCCTCTGGTTTCTTCTACCAGAGGAAATTGCCTGATAGTCCCTTCTCTTAATGTGGACAAGCACACACACACACACACACAAACACACAGACACACACACAGATCACAGATACTCTCCTGGTAGTGGCCCCTGTGACACTGCTTAAATATTAATGACCTGATTCTTTCTCATTAATAATAGCTGCAGTGCTGATTGCTCGATGAATACCATTTTTTGTGCATTAGTGTCAGTGTTTGTGTAGATGAAACCGTGTTTAATTATGTGAAAAGTACTGAATATTTAGGGGCGATATATAATGATAAATCATGTGTCACTTTGTTTAACTATTTGGGGGTTTACGTATATGAGTAGGACAACATGAGAACATGATAGTGGATGAAGGGCTCTATGGATAGTACAAACTCTCAAGCATAAACAAGTGTGAACAATAATTAAACATGGACCGGCGACACACATATGATGGTAATTGCTTGAAAATACATTTGTGGATGACACAGACAAGCTTTTGCTCAATCAAGCTACGCGTGAGCTGTGTGAAAAAGCAGCTAGGTTAAGCTTGCTCAACAACACACCCATACACACACTTACCAGGAGCAATGGAGAACAAGGTCACCAACAGTATCTGTGTTTGTAAAGAAGAACTTTACATGGCATTAACTACAAATGTAAATAGAGAGAAATGGAGGCTGCAGAAGTGCTACGGAATGACCAGTGTGTCCTTTAGTATCGATGAGTCGGGGCATTACGGCAGCACACATCAACGTAAATCAACCTAAAAGTGAGGTACTCACTGATTACAACAATCTATCAACCCGGATAACGTCTTATGTTTTTTGCATGGCTTCATATTATTCTCTCCTTGGTATCAAGTATCATATAATGCTTGACATTTAAATGCACATCTGTTTGTTTTTGTGTGTGTGTGTGTTTGTGGAAAACCAATCTTTCAGAATTCACACTTTTCATTTCCCTGATGAATGAGTAGAAAGTGCATTGAGACAGGGAGCGGAGCTGAAAAAGAGAAGTTAAGAAACAGAGACAAGGTAATCAGCGTTTCGGCTTCTAAACTGCACTGTAGTAAAAAGACAACTGAGTCTGCCTACAGATTGGGGAGGCACCGCTACCCAAATCCCTCACTAACGTATACAAACACTAAGAGTTATCTCGGTGGGCTTCATTATCCTGCCTTTGTCTGCCTTTTCTGATCTGTGTGCTCATCTACTCCCACCTGACCCTGCTCTGCTCCATCACTCAAGCAGACGGTATGATTTCAGCACCCAACCTGCTGTCCAGCCACTCCTGGGCCTCGCCCCCAGGGTCCTCTGGACCTGCTTGTCGTTACCGACAATATCTATCTACGCCAGATAGAAATCATCTTATTAGGGCTGTGCTAATGTCCGCCTTGAATTCCTGGGACACCTCGCCTGCCCCTATTTTAATTGGCTGACTATATTAATATTTCATTCATTTGAATAGTGCACATCACTCTTTCCTTTGCTGACTTTGAACCTGCTGGGGGCTGCTCACCATGTCAGATTGGACAGATGGATGTTGATGAGGGAAACTGATTTCCACACTGAGAATCCCCAATAGTGCTGTGGATTTTATCGAGTGTCAAGCAAGGATTAAGTTATGATTTGTGAGTGAAGTTAAGAAATATTCAAATCTTCATTGCTCAGGCAAAGTCCGAACCAGATTAATATGAAATATCTTGGAGCAGCATGGTGATATAAATCATCATATTAATAAGCCTGTAGATACAACTGTTTACAGAGCTTTAAGGTAAAACTAATGAAACTACAAAGCACAGGCAGACTTTAAAAAGATATCAAAGCTTCGAGCTGGCTTTTCTGTTTGTCAAATATATCTCTACGAAAAAGAAGTAAGGGAACTTTAGGAGTCAAGACAAGATCTGTGAAATCATAGAAACTTAAAGATAAAATACACATCTTGCAGATTAAAAAGTGAAAGCTCTACATGTCTACAAAGGACTCACAAAATGTACTTACGAGCCCTCAGACAGAGACCTAGAGTTATGTTTAGCAACATTTGAATTAGGATGAGTACCTTGATGAGTGGTAGTGGAAACCAGAACAAAGTAAGGCTCCCAAAGGAGATGTAATTATAATAGTATGTCTCTATTATGTAGAATGGTTTGTAAGTAATAAATCACTAAAATGTCAGTTTCAAAATCCTGCAACTTAAAGAGAATGAAATCCTCCAAGAAGAGATGGAAACTGTTGGTGTTTTGGAAGAGGACGATAGAAGTTGATAGGAAGTGAGCACGATTCAGATCGTCAGTGAAACTCCATCTGTTCCTGACGGCCATTCTGAAGGTCATTCTCAAACTGAGAACTGTTTTCCTTTCATGTGTTGTGAGGTGAGCTTGTTGCTAACTAAGGAAGGTACGGATGCAAACATGTGCATACAAGCTCACAGACTCAAACCCACCAGCCCCGGGGCTAGCTCCAGGACTGAAGGCAGGATGGAGCAGAGGGAAAACACATGGAGCGGAATGAGTAGGGGAGGCTGACAGAGAAGAAATAAGCAGGATGATTTCATCTAACACAGCTCATTTGGTTAGAATTTGATTCTAATAAGGTCTAATAGAGTCCTTGTTGTGTCATTACTTCAACCATTATTTTCCTTTCTCTGACAGTTTGTGGGATTTTGAGCAATTTTAGATTGATAGTAGAAAGGTTACTCCGTTAGCTGCACATTAAAATCCAAGAAAGAAATCTAAACTGAGTCTGTGTCGAGGCATCTTAACCTGTTCCAGAACATTCTGTTCACTTTGTGTGTATTTTAGGTTCACAGTTAGGGAAATATTGCCTATTGTTGAGGTGGCATGAAGATTTTACAAACGAAATTACATATGTTTTAATTGCACCCACAAACTATATTCTGTAGCGTTCGACCTGTTTAGTTTTACCAGATGCAACAGTATTGGTACTTGATGTCTATCTGACTTGTAAGAAAAAATGGGAAACAGTGCTGCTGTATTTTTTCATTTAAAATCAAACAGACATTGACAGACATAATATTAGATATTTATGTTCTACATCTTTATGCTTACAAGGAAGTTGCTTCATGAAAAAGAAATCTTGGAGTGTTCTTAATATTGAGAGATATGAAATTGTATTTTCGTACCAAAAAGGTCATTCCGAAAGACCTTTTGGAAAAAAAGAAAAAGGCTTATATGAAGGGTTTCCCTTAAAAAAATAGCTAAAGCTTGTGGGGAAAGTCTAAGAAATAACTACAGAGGATGAACCACATCTGAAAGTGATGTCCTTGTACATAGGAAAAAAGTACACCCAAAACCTTAAACAGGACCTGTGGGAGGCATCTGGTCCTGAGGCTGTGGTTCTGAATGACCACATGTTTATGAAAACATCATCAGAAATGGTCTCCATGGAGGTGTGACTGTGAAGAAGCCATTCTTAAGTATAAAATACCAGCAGAGAATACAGGCTGAGGAAGGGCAATTGACACATGATCAGGATTAAGTGCACAGTGGTGTGGTGGTTAGAGCTGTTGGCTCTCAGCAAGACTGCCTCGGCTTTGAATCCCAGCTAGTGACTGTGTGGAGTTCTCCCTGAGCATTTGTAGGATCTCTCTGGGCTTCCTCCCCCTCCCTAATACATGCATGTTGAGTTTACGGATGATACTAAAGTGACTCATGGAGGACATAAGTGTATGTATAATCGTTTGCATCTGCTCTGGCCCTGTAATGGACTAACAACCCATCTACGGTGTGCCCAGCCTCTCATTCAGAGACAAAACTCAAAATTGTAGTCGCAATGGACTTTATTTGGTATCTTTTATGGTAAAAATAGGTGCTCCGAGGGCCCTTAGCATAGGTAGGATTGTAATTTGGCAACTCTTTTGCAGCCAAGGGTTTGTGCGCAGACATGCGTGAATGTAAATCATTGCTGCTCCTGCGGCCTTTAACACCCATCTGTCTTCCATCAGCTCAGCTCTGTACTGCTGGCGTCTCAATCAGCTGGCATAATGTTGCACACACACACACACAAAATGCTGACTTTTTTTTTTCTGTTTCTCATCTTTTCTCACAAACACATGCAAATACATGCACAAAAGAGTTTGACAATGTGCCACAACAAGTATGATTGCCAAAGAAAAACACACACGGTGTCCCCACAGTGTTGCCTGATTAACGACATGGTTTGTTCTCTTCCTCAGGCATGGGCCAATCAGGCATGAGGACACAAATCTCTCCCCGCTGGTGATGCTGAAGGCCACCGGCCACTATTTATTGGCAATCTCAGCCCTAACTACCCAGACAGGGAGAGAGACACGCTTGCCAAAGGCAGACAACACCATCGCATCTGCCTCTGAGTGTGTTTTTCATGTGCTGAGCAGGAAATGTGATGGCAGACATGTAATAAATTATATCCCTTACCATAATGAAATAACACACGAATAGACCCAAACACACATGCTATACTGAGGGATCTCCTCATTTTTAGACCGTGTATGTGTATCAAAAGTATGCAGGTATTAAATCCTAAAACAGCGCATCAAAGCTGTGATTACAGAAGATTAGAGAGAAAATAAATGATCTCATCTCACATTTCAACTAATTGGATGAATTTATAGGACTTGTTGCTGTACTCCCTTGCTTAAAACAACTTTTAAAAACACAATAATCCACACAGAGATTTCAAAATTTAGTGGTTCTTTTATTTACAGAACCCTGAAAATAGCTCTATATGTGGCAGTTATTTTTATTTTTTAGAAGTCTTTACAGCTGACAGCTTTATCTGTGAAACATTCACGTGTGCTACATTAAAAAGAAAGCTTTGATTGTCCACAGCTATTTTTTTTTTTTTGCCATTGCTTTACCATCAGAGCAGTGGTCAAATTACAGAAAATCTGCCATGAACTTCAGCCTCAGAGATGTAAACTTGACTTATGAGTATTTCAGTGGTCAGACTCTTTACTTCCCATCTGTCCTTTTTTCCCTGTCTTTCTCTAAATTAACTTCTGCTTCTACTCACCATCCAGTTTCTGTTATCTAGTACATTTTATTGATGGGAGGAAACTTGGACATGTCTGTTGCCCTATCACTAACACAACCCTGTAGAGAGCAAACCTATTTTCTAATGCAATAAAAGAAAATACAGTGCAACGTGGAGGCATGAACTGCATCATGTCCAACACTCAATAAAAAAACCTTTGCATTCAATATGATGAGGTTAAGAAGTATTATTATTATTTGTCATCATTGCTTACAGGTGCTTTTTTGTGACCTAATTAGCTCGGTTGTCTATAATTACTAACAGACAACTTCACGCACTTAGCAGCCATTACAGATGCATTGTAAACCCTTTTTATACATTATTAAAAGGGGCAATGAAATATTCTCCTCATATGGGGGAGAAACATTGTGTGGATTTCACATGACAGCAGCTTAATCTGAAATCAGGTCGATGTCCAAATTAATCTGCCATTGAAAGTCCAGGTGCAAAACTTTTTAAGTGGTTTGAAATAGTTATGATTTTCCACAACCACATGTTAGAAGCCATTTTCTTTTCTTTAACAGGACTAGTAATGACTAACAGTCATAGTGATATTACGAGGTCACCTACCTACTCCACAAAGGTTTTTCTTTGTTCATCCTGGAGTTTTGTTTTTGATGTAATGTAACAATGAGTATGGTTTTGAGAAAGTCAGAAACTTCTGAACTCTGGTAATACTGATGACATGAGAGAATTTCAATGCAGGGTGATAAACAGAGGGAGGAAATATAGAGGAAGAGGAGCCAGCACTGAGCTTGGCCCATATTCTGTACTGTAGTGTCTGTGAGTCACTCTTGCAGACACTGAGAGTTCAAATTTGGCTCCAGTTTATTACAGGAGAGGAGAGAGAACTGACTCGTGGGCTGGAAGAAACATAAAATAGTAAGAGGATTGAATACTAGTATATATAACTTGTCAAACTGACATGCTTTCGCAATAAACTTTTAAATGGTTTTATACTCTTTTTGAAATACTTTCCCACTTTAAACATTTAATGCTGGATTCACTGCTTTAAATTAAAACTTGTTTAAATTAGCTAACTATTCCATTAAATACGTATTTGAATTTCCATGTCACAGAGGTATAAAACCTGGTTGCAACTCCAGTTCCAACACTTATTTTGCTTTTGAAGGGATGAGTAAGGGAAGGTAAAAATAATAGTTAGAGACAAAGACCTAGAAACAAAGCTAGAGACAAAGAAAGAAAATAAGTGCAGATGGTTCATCAATACGGAGAAAGACAAACTGACTACAGGTCGAAAAAGGTATATGGAAGTATAAGGGAGTTAGCTACTGTATATGAGGTTGGGATCAGAAGAAAGCACACGCAGACACACACTGAGAGTCACAAGCCAGAAAACTGTTGCTTGCCAGCTTGATTGGGAATCTTTTCAGAAATCTCCTTTGGAGCAACAGCAGGATGTCTGGAGTCAGAGAAGGCTCACAGGAGGAATGAGGGTAATATGCCAGAGAAGAAAACTAAGTTTTCTCTGGAATCAGCACATCTGTTATAGAGGATGATCCATCTCCCTCTTATTGCAACATGATGACACGTTTGGCAGGAGAGGAAGAGTCTGTACATGAACACAGCAGTAAAAACATGCCAGTATGCTCTGTAATGGGTTCAGTATGATTGTGACTATGGATGTAGAAGAAAAGTTCTATTTGTAAAATTATTAAACAGAATCTTCTATTTAACAATTCAACCACTCACCTTGAACTCTGTAGCTTTTGAGTTTGGATTTCTATAAAATTAGAAGAAAGAAAAGTAATTTAACATAAAAAAAAACTGCTGTGTCAAATATGTTTTGATACTAAAAACCAAAAAAAAAAGCCCTTTATCGATATAAAAACGTTATAAATGAATAAAAATCTGTGGGTAAACTGTTCTCTTCTGGAATGCATTTTACTGCAGAAGATTGGCTGCTTTGTTTGGTGCTCCTGGCAACGCAGGTATCACTAATCACCCAAACCAGAGTTCCATTCACCGTTTTCACTTGCTTTACTTCAGCAAGCCCAGTGACAGTTGACACTCTTTTCTGTTGTCTTTATGAAATGTCAGTGTAATGTTTGTGTCAATACACCACAGGATTACAGTATAACAAACCCAACTTTGAAACTGGTTGTACAGCTTTGCACAATCACGAAAATTGAAATTGGGAGAGAAGATACTCTCCTAAAGTATATTATGCCTTATGGAGCTTGGATACAACACACATGGCGGGAGAGTCACTGAGAACACCATTGTATAACATCACATAATATCCTCACGTCCAAAATACCATAAAAATATAAACATATCATGAAACATATTTGAAATAAAATAAAGTCTAGTGCTCTTTATTTTATTTTAAAGTTAAATTCAAATATAAGAAATACAAAATGTGCATTGATATTAGCTACTGAAGAACCCCATACCACTTAATGTAGTTCTGCAATTGCGTTTAGACATGAAGTTGAACTGTGAGGCCTGAGCTGTGAGCTCAATTCCACACCATAGCTCAAAAAGAATAACTGCACGTCTGTATTTTAGAAGAAAGGCTAATATTGATGATTAACTCACATATGCAGAAGAGCTGACAACATTGCTATAATTGATGATAATCATACAAGCACATGCTTTCAATGGGTCAGACAACCACAACCACAACATGATCAGGGTCAGTGAATATTATGCCATGTATTTTCTCAGCTCTAAGACAGCCACGTTTTCTCCTGCCCCTCTCTACGCATATGATTATATTTGATCAAAAGCGAACAAATTACAGTAATATTGCAACTTACTGGAACGACATTTTACCGTAGGTTTTTTTCTTTTAATAGATGGAGAAGCACCTACATGACACACCATTCATAACTTGCACAGTTCGCCACACACGTGTGTCTCTCTTTGACGCTTATGACTTGCATTACAGCAAGTGAAGGAGTAGGCGCAGAGCTGTGTTTTATTCAATTAAACTCCCGAGGGTGCGCAGCGGCAAATGAACTGCAGCCTAACAAACTCCCACCACCTCACATCACTCTGCTAATCAGGCAGCAGCAATGAGCAGCACACTCTGAACATTGACTAAAAGGCACAGGTATCCATGCAGAGGCAGTTAAAATGTCAATTAAAAAACACATCTTATTGTGAGATTAGCGAAAGTGATACCTTTACACTTGCAGGAAATGTTTGGCCTCATATTCTTTTGTTAAAATGTACTTAAAAATATCAAGAATGTCGGCTTTGCAAGGCCGCCCACCCCCGCTGTCTTAAATACTCAGTAGACACGGAGGACCTATGGCCACAAGGGAAGGAGATGGGAGAGGGGCGAGGGGAGGGGTCTCCCTGTTGCCTGGGGGCCGCCTGGTTCCTGGGTCTGCAGAGGTGGGGTGTTGCTGTCCCTGGGGGTGCCCCCCAGGCTACACCCACAGGACAAATTCTTTTTTATGTGTGTGTTTTATCCTTTTCTTTTCTTTAAGTCATTTATATCATCATTGTTATTACCATTTTTTATTTTCTTTGTATTTCTTTACATATTGTGATTGGAGTGACTGTGGCTTTGCTTGGGCCTGGTTCTGGGTCTGCATTCCTCCGGTCAGCTCATGCTGTTCCTGGCCCCTCCGGATGCTGGGGGCGGGGTTTGGTGGCGCTCGGCCCTTGCGGGTTGTGGGTGCCGGTTCCCGGCCTGTGTCTGGGGGACGGGGCCTGGTGAGGGCTGGTGTGCTGTCACTCATGGTTCTCGGGGGGCCTCTGCCCTATGGTCACGGGGGGCTCTTCTGGGACGTTCCCTGCTTCCCCTCTGGGCTGATCCCCGGTTGACTCTGTGGTCATCTTCCCGGTCATCTGCGCTCGGGTGGCTGCTGGTGGACTGGGTCTAGGGGTACCCTCTGCCTTCTCCGGAGTGCTGGAGGGGGGGGCTTCGGCTGGTTGCCCCTCCGCACCATAACCGAGCACAATCTGGGATTTCTGCTGGTTTCCGCTCACATACACACACACACAGTCAGTTACCCAGACACACACCTGCTTAAGCTAATGTACAGTTGCTGCAAAGTTCTCAGAATCTCACTAATGTCCTTGCTACCAGAGTTGTTACTGCCGTTGGCTTTTGTAGCTTGAATGTTTTTTTGTTGGGTCCATTTGCAGGAGCTCCTATAGGTTCTCCATCCTTGTTTCTTTTGTACAGAAATAGCAGCTGGTTGTGTGGTTTTGTTGTCTTTCTTTTTCTCTGTCTCTCTCTGCCTAAAGGATCTTTCTCCTTTCGGGTTTTCTTTCCTTTGCTCTTGCTCTTTGCTCTGTTAGGTTTGGAATTATTAGATACATGTAAAGTTTTTAAACAAAAATAAACAAATAAAGCATCATTGGATAATCAAGGGGGGGCTATTCACCAATATATACATTCATATATGTATATGGCCAGCAAATTATGGTTGTAAATGTACAACAAACAGCAAAACCCTCCCGAAGAACAAAACCACAACAAAAGCGCATCAGTCCTATAAGACCAATGAGTACAATAAGTGGATAAGGAACATGCTAGCACCTTGCTACCAGAAGGTAATACCTTCTGATAGCAGTGCACGCATTTTATTTTTCTGACCAACCTCATTTAGACGAGGAGTTCCTATACCTTTTAAATCAGATGCTGTAATCTTACATCCTCTTTGCATGTTGCACATTTTTGCATTAACCTGAACCTATTTTGTTGAGTGTTGGGAATTAGTACGTTGCAGACTGAATTCCCTTTGCACCTACAAAGGTAATCATGGCCCTGATCCGGTAATAATTACGATAAACACCCCTAACTTCCAACCCTAGCCAGCGCGCACATCACCGAGGCTCATTTTGCAATCGCTGCTTCGCCTGCACTTCTCTGCAGAGTGCCAGATTAGCACCGTACATTTGTGCACGTGTCTCGTATGTTTGTGTGCTATGAGAATAGTGGGAGGAAGGAAGTCACACTCCACCTCATCTTCTCTGAGCTTCCGTCCCTTAGGTTGGCTGGTTGCATAACTGATGCTCAGAGAGAAAACCAGCTACCTCCAGGGACACATGTGGCTCTGTGTTGTAGTTACATCGTACCTGAATCCCTGAGCAAAGCTTATATTTTAGCCCATAAAGAGAAATTAAGACACTTCTATTAATCATGTTATAGTATTGTAGTCTGAGGTACTGCATACAATTATGTTTTTCTAATAATATCATGCTAAACTATTTTTAAATCATTAACTGGTCTATCGGTTAATCTGTGCAGTGACTTTCTCAAAGAATTTTTTCATTGTTAAGTTCAGGATGCAGATAGCAACAGCCCAAGCTGTAGGTCTTCATAGAATTCTGTTCACAGGTAATTTTACAATCATTTCAATGCATTTAGAAGTTGAAAATCACTAATCGGGAATCATTTACACACACACACAAATATGTATATATGTATATACTAAGTACTATACCAGCAAGCGGTCATAGCTTGTCATCAAGAAGAGCTGTATGTCCTTTGCCTGTTTTGCTGTCATTTTTTGAGCATGTAGTCACATACAGTGCAAAGAATAAAAGAAGGATTAAAACATCAAGACTCGCGCTGGAAATATGAACACTGCATCACAGGCAGCACGAAGGTGCTAATCTCGTCAGAGCACTATGATCACCCTGATTATAGTGACACTCTCTCTATCACTAAGGTTGTAATAACACTTTATCCACCATGCTCCTTCATCATCTAAGGTTTGCCGTCTTCCCCACACACGTACACTGAATACGCGGTACTTGGGTCAGTGTAGTAGCAGTGGGGGGCGCAGTCTGGGGCAGAGGATGGCCGCACCCAGCCATTATCTCTGGAGACCTGCTCAGTCTGAAAGCGGCGCTCTGACACACTGACTGACGGCTGGGAGGAAGACCTGCTGGGAGTCTACGAGCAGGTGAAGCGTCAGAAAAGCAGAAAGGAAAAAAAAGCACACAGGGGGGAGACCTACTGTACAGATGAACTGACAACTACACACCTGCACGCACAAAGGCTGGCAGTCAGCTGTGAGTTAAACAGGCAAGGAATAAAGCAGGGAAACAAACATATATACAGGAGCTCCTAGATGTGCACGCACACACACACACACACCCACACACAAACATACTGAATCCGGTAATAAGGAGGTGGTGATCTCCAGGGAGAGAGCCAGTGGTCACAGAGAGGGAGAGCGGAAGCAGCTGGCAGCTAAAATACTTCCTGTCCAAGCTCTGTAATTTCCTCCCATAGGCGCACCTGGACCACACACACCAATATACTGCATGTGTTTGTAGAATGTGTGTATCAGTGTGCACTGTGCCCACATGAGAAAGTATTTTTAAACCTCTGTTTGAGTTTGACTTTAAGTTTTGCAAGACTGATTGTGTATTTGAGTTTACTGGGATGAGCACAATGCACACAGCCAGTTCAAAGTGGATTCCTGGAGCCCAACATAGCAGCTATTACCTCCAAAAACACATGCTTATACATAATGCAAGCTGTCAAATCAGGGTGATGATGTTCGGTTGATATGAAAACGTATTTTTTTTAGAACGAACAGATAATACGCCTCTGGGGAAATTACTTTCGGTGTCTTTGTCGATTAGCTTCATTTAGACAAGACAAACCAACGTAGTATTTTGTGCCAATGAGAACAGCACAGTGAGAAAAGTTGTGAGAGATGCAAAAAAAAACAAAAAAACAAGAGCATTTGCATAAAACACGTATGTTGTCTTATCAGTCATTTTCATAAAAGCTTTATCTCTCGAACAACATGGGGCTATCAATGTGTTCACTGGAAAGTCATGAAAAAAATCACAGCAGTTTGCCCCTGCTTATGAGACTAATTTCTTGAAACATTATAATGCATTTACGAACTCTGTGTAGAAATTCTGCCCAGCAACTGAGGGGAGAGACTTAGGGGACGTTTTCTGTGGTCAGCTAACTCCCCATTTCCTCTGGGATAAACACATGAGGTGTGTGTTGTAAATGACAGACTACGTTGTCTTAAAAATGCTTTTCAGACTGTCCATGTGAAGGCACCACTGAAGAAGTGTACGTTCTCCTAATTATAAGAAACCAAAATTGCTTTGGTAGTAACTATCGGGCTTTTCTCTTAGTCAAGCATAACTCTGTTCACCTCGCCACCGCTCAGTTTTCATGTCTTTTCATTACAAATGAGGTCTTAACGAAAAGAAAGGCAGAATGGCCCATGATGTCATTTTGTGTGCAATACAAGCATGAGACAACAATGAATGACATCATGGCCACATTGTGTTGGTTAGTGTATTACACGTTTACAAAGCTGATGTATATGTGCAACTTCTTCTATTATTTAAGCATCTAAAGGCTTTTTGCTCGTGAGAAAAGCTGTCAAGAGGACAGCATTGAATAACCCCCCTAAGTGATTATTGAGAGTGTCACCTTCCATTGGTTTTCAAATGGCTATTTTGGGGTTTCAATCAAGAGCCAACATATTATACCAGTGTCTACTGGGAACATCTGTTACACAACTGAAGACAAGTTCAGGCCTTTTATGAGCTGTGTGCTCGCTCACATCTCTAAGTGCATAGTCATAAGTCTCCTCCTAAAACCCTTGTACTGAGACTGTGCCTGTCTCACACAAGCAGACAGTGTGGGGGGTGGGGGCAAGAAGTGAGAGAATGAGACACAGAAAGATATCGTGAGAGTGAGACTCAAGGGACTAGCCTTTATTTCCTGGTTGTGCTAGGCAGAGAGTAAGCCGCAGTGACTGGAAGCCATGGACTTTGCCTGAACCTCCATATCTACTCTACTAAGATGAGACGGCATGGAATCAGTCCATTTCATTGTAAACTAAACCAGCAAAAAAGGTGGTCTTTGATAGCTGCCTTAATCCTTTGCCCGCTGGCTAACTGCAGTCATTCTGCATCAGGGGCTGCAGGAGAGACCTTCTGCCATCAAGACAATACAGAGCTCCAAATGTCAATGAAACAATGAGCTGCCAAGACCTGTAATTTTGTAATATTGCCAACTGTCTTTATAAGCGATCTGAACAATGCCATACAAAGACATCAAATGAAAAATATGAAACATCAGAGGAAATGTATATTTTCTGAAGCATCTAAAACCTAAACAAAGGACTTATTACGAGGCCTTCAACCTTGCATGTCTAGAACTGTCAGAACGGGCAGTCAAACACAGGGAGAAAAAAAAATCCCACCTTTGAGTGTCCTGGCTGCAGAGATGGGAAGCGTAAAATGAAACTTTGTTTGGGACAACAAGTTGCTAGTAAAGCTAACCACAAAGAATAAATTGCTAGAGGATCGGGGAATAGAGGAAAAGGAAATGGAATCAGCTGAACAGACAGTCATCGATCATAACCACAGATAAAAGGGGATAAAATTAAATTGTTGGAGGGGAAGAACAGACAGATGTAATGATGGGGCTCTGTCTGGCCCGAAAAAAAAAAGCCAATCCTTCGTTTTCTATTGCTGCAGCGATTAATTGAAGAATGTGCCACATTAATAATAAAACTTTCTTTCCCCACTTAGGACATTGATTCACACCTCCTCAGCTTATGGTGTAAGAAACCGATCAATCTCACTCCTTCTTCGTCTCCCTTTTTCTTCCTCGTCAGCTCTTGTATTAACTTACTAAATATAACTCCCTTTCTCTGTCTTTGGCCAGGAAATGAATCCAGCATTCAATAATGGCTGTGAATTAAGCAAGCCTGGTACATAACATTTTCAGAAATGATTGACTGATCATTCATTAATCTGCTAATGCTTGAGATTGATTTACAATGGAGGCTGATGTGATGGTGAGATATGATGGGATAAGGAAATAAAACAAGTATTTAATTGTTTTTTAAGTGGAAGATTGCCACACAAAGAGCAGTATGTAGGCTGAGGGGGATCTGTGAAGTGCTTTACATGTCAGTGTGGCTCTGGGGTTACAGTGACATGCTGTAACAACTGGACGGTAAATGTTTACATAATGTTGTGGTCTAGAATAGCAAAGACCAAACGGAGGAAGAGAAACGAAGAGAGAAAATCACATCAAATGCTTCTGGGAGCAACACATGCCCGCTCATCTGTCTGTCTGTCAGTCTGTCTATCTGCTTAGCCTTGAAAATCCCAGCACTCAAAGCCAGACGACCACAGAACTCATGCCCACGCCATCCATGCACGCACACAGACACGCATGCACAAACACACTCACAGTGGCCTGTTCTATCCTATGCTATTGATCTGCACCCCACTCTTCATTAGAAAGAAAGATTCAAAGGCAACAAGGAGCAGTGAGACACATCGAGATTGCGTGGTTATGTGTCTGCGAACACACAGCATGTGTGTGTGTGTGTGTGCGTTCAGAGGAGGAAATGCATGATCAAGAGAGTTGGGTAATCCACGTGTGGTTATATCCTGTATCTGCCTGTGTTTCCCTAAACTTTTTTTTTTTCCACCCCCCGTGTGTGCATGTACTCAGGCTACAAAGTCTACGTGTGTGTGTACATAGATGTGGATGTACTGCCAGGTATCAGTAGCAGTGGGAGCAGATCTTTGTTACTCCAATGCAGTCTGTCCTCACAGGGTGTTCCTATGGAAACTCTCGATCTCTCTCTCTGTGTATTATTAGACATTCGAGTCAACCGCTCAGAATAGGAAGAAACAGATCTCATCTATTGCAAAGCACTCATTATAAAGAACCTTGATTCACACCAGCACAATATAGGATTCA